AGGGGCAGTTGCTGCACAGGCGAGGGAGGGTGGGGCGCAGGCCAGAGCCATGGCTCATCTGGGGGGTGCAGGGGTAGTGCCTCTCACCTCTGTGCACACCCTCAGGAGACATAGGGATCATGTACCCTCCCTATCTGTGCATGGGTTGAAGGCTGGCTGCAACTGTGTACTTGGGGCCAGAGGCTGTGTCAGCCTCTTCTCAGCAGGGGGGCTGGCCCCAAGCTGTGCTCAAGGCAGAAGGTGGCACTGGCAGGAAGCTACAGCAAATTTTGAGGTGGCTGTAGCCCCACCCCCCGCCCCGTTTCCAGCACCACCGCCACCTGCCCTGGCCCACCCAACCAGAGCACAGCCTCGTGGTGGGGAAGGAAGGTGCGACACCCAAAGTTTGGTAATTATCATTCTAAAATAAAATATAATACAATATATGCATGCTGCTGTATTAGCAAAAGCTTATTTACAATACCTGGAAATGTTCCTTGATAATAAAAGCACTTGCAATCTTTGCCTTAATTCCTTCATATTCCCCAACATCACTGATGCAGATAGCATACCACTAAATTAAATTAAAAACCACAAATTAAACAGATTATTGAAATATCTTTAATAGAACTAATTAAAATAAAATATGCAGTTACAAAATGTAATATTGCTCAATATTGCTCACAGACTAAAGGATTATGATTAACTAGCCCTATTGTTTACTTAGGAAGTCATTTAACTGTAATGAACAATTTAAACAGCCCAAGTGAATGGCTCTGGTCAATCCTGACAAGAAAGCAGTTCACCATCCTGTGAGGAAACTTGGGTGTCATTAACTTGGGCTGCCAACAGAAGTGACTAAACTGAGCTTCTCAAATCTCCTGGGAAGAGAACAGGAGAAGGAGATGAAAAGCAAAAATGATCTCCTTTCTTCCCTAGAAAGGTTCTCCTCTGGTAGAGAAGCAGTGGATTGCATCTGTGGAACACTTTCCAAGTGGAAATTAGGGGAATATCCAGGAACTTATTTTGGAGTGTTGGGGGCAATTTCCTGGTGCAAATGTTGGTATAGCTAACTAGGGGTTGTGCTCTTCTTGATCTGCTGCTCACAAACAGAGAAAAATTGGTGGAAAATGGAGAAGTGGATGGCAACCTGGACAGCTGCAACCACAAGATGACCGATTTCAGGATCCTGAGGAAAGGAAAGAAGGAGAGCAATAGAGTACTTGGCTTAGCAGGGAACTCTACAAAAAGGAAACTTCCAAGTGGAAACTTGGAAAAACAATTAGGGAGGAGTATAAAAGAGTACTACTCAGGCACACAGGGATGAAATCAGGAAGGCCAAATCGATATTGGAGTATGAAGTATCAATACTGGAGTATCGATATTGCTTCATGCTACTTCAGCTAGCAAGGGATGTGTCAGGGTATCAAAAGAAGTTTCTACAAGTATGTCAGCAACACAAGGAAGATCAGGGAAAGTGTTGGTACCTTACTCAATGAGAGGTATTCTAGTGACAGATGATGTAGAAAAGGCTGGAGTACTCAATGCCTTTTTTAGCTCAGTCTTCACAGGCAAGGTCAGATTCCAGCCTACTGCACCTGGCACCATAGTTTGGAGGGAAGGTGAGCCACCAACAGTAGCGAAAGAACAGGTTATGGATAACACTGGCTGTTTTGTTTTGGATGGACTGAAATAGGGAAAGGGAAGGGTAGCAAGGGGCAGGTTACTTCAGTTAGAAAGTATAACATTTTAGTGTTTTCACTGATGATCTGGAAGATAGGATGGAGTGCACACTGAGCAAGTTTGTGGATGACACTAAGCTGGGGGGAGTAGGAGGGCAGGGCTAGGATTCAAAGAGATCTAGACAATTTGGAGGATTGGACCAAAAGAAAGCTCATGAAGTTCAATAAGGGCAAGTACAAAGTCCTGAACTTAGAGCAAAACAATCCCATGCACTGGTAGGTTGGGATAACTAAGCAGAAAAGGACTTGAAGGGTTACAATGGACAATAAGCTGAATGAGCCAACAGTACAACCTTGTTGTGAAGATGGCTAGTAGCATACTGGGCTGCATTAGTAAGGAGCACTGCCAGCAGATTAAGGAAAGTGATTGAGCAATGCTTTCAAGTTATAGCAAGGGAAATTCAAGTTAGATATAAGCAAAAACTCTCTCATGAAGAGGGTAGCAAAGCACTGGAACAGGGTACCCAAAAGGGTTAGGGAATCTCCATTGTAGAGATTAAGACCCAGGTAGACAAAGCCTTGGCTATGAATGATAGAGTTGAGGATGGTCCTGTTTTGAGCAGGGGGTTTGACTAAATGACCTCCTGAGGTCCCTTCCAACCCTAATTTTCTATGATTCTATGAATAGCTCAGTCACAAAGAACTCTGACCTGTTAGATATCTAGCCAGTTAATTACGTAGTAAATAGTAACCCAGCCACACGTTTGTGCAATTAATGGCAAGATAAAAGAGGGAATAAACCACAAAGTAACTACACAGAATACACGTAATAACTTTGTGGCTGGTTCCCATCATATCTTCAATTTAAGGTGTGGCCAGGCTAATCAGCTGACCAGCATTCCCAGCCTCAGGAATGCATTGGAGCCCTTCAAGGCTCTGGTGTGCTCCCTGCTCTGGAAATACACTGGAGATCTTCCCAGCCCTGGGAGCATACCAAGGAGAAGGGCTCCAATGCACTCCCTTGGCTAGCAGTGCTCACCAGCAAACTGACTTTCCCATCTGCAGGAGTGCACAAGAGCCCTTCAAGGCTCTGAAGTGCTACTGTGGCTGGAAGCACTTGTGCCCAAAAGCCTGCAAAGAACTTTTTTTCCATCTATTTAGTTGATTTAATAAAAAAAATACCACATCTACCCAAAGAATCTTGCCTGCCTATGTCCTTAGACCAACATGGCTACAACGAACAACCCTGGTCAGCTGACTGGCACTCCAAGCGATGGGAGCACTGGCATGCTACTTCATGCTACTGGCATGCTATTTGCTGATACAGGGATTGTGGACTCCCCCTGCACCAGCTATAATTACGATTTAGATCTGATCTCCAATACTATACTACAATCATGCCTCCTCCTGCCATGCGTGTGAAGGGATCCGATTCATGATCCCAACAATGGTGCCTCCTGCCATGCATGTGGCATGGCAGGAGGCACCACTGTTGGGATCGTGGATCAGATCCCCTCATACCTCTAACTGAACATTTGTCAGAGGCCCAACAATCATTTTCTGCACAAGGTTTTGACTTATTTCAAACCCTGCTTATGCTGAAGATGGCTGGATGGCCATATAGCAGAATCATAGTGATTTCTGTTGGTATGGTTAGAGGACAGTGGATGGCAAAATTTCTAAAGTTTAATTACTTTGCATGGCTCACCTTGTGGGCTGCAAAATTTGACTCATTTTTTTCTAGTGCCTTCTTTGCATATTCAAGAGCTTCATAAATCAGTTGCTTTTTCTCCTCTGCAGATGTTCTACTAAGCTGGGCTAGATCGCGAGATGCTCGTGCCAGACGCCACAGTAATTCTGCATCCTCACTAATTATAAACATAAAAGAATGATTAACGATTAAAACCAGTTTTGTCTACAAAGAGCAAGGTCTTAAATCACTCAATACATCTTAGCTTAGTTTTAAGATAACAAACATACCGTTCATGTACACCCAAAGGCTATATGGAATAAATACAAGATCCTAGTCATGGGAGACTTTATTTTCATTTGTAAAGCAACAGCATTCCACTCAGATTGTTTGTAAGGTTAGGTTCCTTTTAAACATGAGGATTTGCAAATTGTGTGCTAGGGGAGGGGGCAAGGAAGCACATTGCTGCAAGAGAGTTGCATAGGACAAAGGAGGTACTCCAGCTGTTTGCTGTGGCTTTTATTTCAAAGGGCACCGCTTCTCCAATCAGCTGCCTGGGACTGCTGACAAGGACTAGCTGAGTGGAAATAAAAGTCACAGAAAACAGCTGAGTAACTGTTTGGCAACTCGTTATAAACTAAGCATGTTGCAAACCATTCTCATACAGTAGAACCCTGGTTTTTTGTACTCACGGCAGTTGTATGCAGAGGTACTTTGTTTTCAAGAAATGGATACAAGTTCACAAAACAGCAGTATTAGACAGGAGAGGAAACAGAGAAAGCAATGCTTATTTCTGACCCAAGCTATATTTCCCTGGTTTCATGTACACACACACTGCTAATATATGCTACTACATGAACATGTACACACATAATTCTACTGTAATACAATTCATCTAATGTTACTGTATGAGCTACAGTTCTATAGGATTTGTAAAATAATCACTTGTAAAATTCAGAATAAAAATGTTTTGGTGCTTTACTAAAAAAAATGTTCAGTGGAAAAGAGCTGTTAAATAAGCATTTTTCTGCAGTCTTGGCACCATTGCAGCACTGTCCAAGTGAACTTGACTGGGAACTGACTAGCAAAAACATTTCAAAAGTGAAAACAATAGCACTAATAGTGAAATTTGGATTTTTCTTACCTCCAAATGCCTGATATTAAATAGCCGTTATCAGTACACCTACTTTTTCAACCTACTCACCACAGAAAAACAGTACCTAACTGTTCTTATAAATTAGCACATTATAAGCTTGAAATGACTTCAGCTGTGTATTGGATTCAGTACATGTACTTCAGTTACAGTTAGTCATTTCAGTTTGCTTATCCAGCTCATGGCATTGGTGTAGTGTGGGGCTAGTCTACAGATTGGATCAGACCCTACAAAACAGGACTGACACCATGCTGTGAGATCTGGGCCCCACACCATCTCCCTTGGCCCTGAATTGCCAGATCCAGGGCCCATGCCATCTGTCTTGGCCCTGAACCACTGGACTTGGCCCCACATTGCCTCCAGCAGGTGCCTATGTACTGGACTGGCCCCCAGGCTACTTCTGTGCACCAATCTAGTATGCTATCTGACCCCTGGGGCTACCTACAGGTCTGGAAATTTGGCGGGGGGAAGGGTGGGAGGTGGCAATTGCTGCCACAAGTCCGCTGCCACCATATTTTCAGATCCCTGAAGGCCAGATGACATGGCTCCATGGGTCAGATCTCACTTGCGGGCTGGGTACTGAGCACCCCTTGTTTAAAAAAAAATACCTATTAGAAAACAACAAAATGTTATACTTTCAAACTGATGTAACCTGCTCCTTGCTGCCCTTCCCTATCTTAGTCCATCCAAAACAGAACGGTCAATGCTATCCTCCACTCTGATCATATTAACTCTACCAATCCAAGCCTCTACAAAAGCTTTCCCTCTCCTGTGTGAGATGCGGGATCAAATTAAACACTTTTAAAAGATCTGCAATTCCATCCTTGGCTGTCTCTCTCTCATTATAACCTCCTGCTCTTTACTATTAACTCATACTTCCTCTGAAACTGCTCTTCCTTTCCTTCACCCTCCAGCCTCATGCTCTGCCTTTCATGTTGCCCCCAAATCGTAGAATAGTCTCCTCACTTGAGATGCACCATTCACCACTTGTTTAAAAAAAGAAATACTCACCTTGTTACCTCTCCTCACCCCATATCCCATGAAGGATGCTGGATTATATTGTACGAGTTGTGACTTCACACTTTAAATGGTTTGAAAAGGGACTTTTTCCAGAGAGCACATGTTTCCTCTTGGAGAAACTAAATGAATGCTTGTACACTGCTAGTTTCTATCCAGAGAGCAGCAATCCTCCCAGTAGAAACATAACACCTGTACACAGCCCAAGACTGACTCTCTCCTCATAAACTTTTAGTAACCATATTTAAGTTTTTGTGGTTACAAACACTCTTTCATGGGGGAATTTGCAGCCTATTTATGATATCATATCACTCTAGGATTAATTCCTCTCTCTGAAGGCAACTTTTCAGGCCTTAATCTTTGGTTCTCAGAGAGGCAAAAAAAACAGCCCAACTCCAAGAAACCTCCAAAATTGCCAAAAGAACACATTTATAACCTAGAAATAAAAAAGGAGTTCAGTTTATCTTCCTTTAAGGAACTAAATTTTAAGTAAAATATCTAGCTGTTCTCTTTTTTTTCCTTTAAAAGAGCCTGTCCCAATTTGCATCTAGATGTTTGTACTCAACTAAGACATACCATACATGTTTACGAGTCATTCTGTGGTCACAGAAGTTCATGCTTGGCAGAAGGAAAATAAGAGAAGAAATAAAAGAGCTGGTTAGCAATAAGAGAGAAAGAGGAAAAGAACAGAGGAAAAAATGTCCCAAAATGAATTTAAGGTTCCCACGTGATAATAATTAAATCCTGGGCCCCTCTCTTATTCCTCTGCCTTCCATTACTGAATGCTAAGCACTCTCTCCCCCCTGTTAGAAAACAATTGTCAGAAACCTAACACTCAGCTGGCCCAACTGAGCCTGGTTAAGATTGCTCCTTCCCTCCACATTGTTATTGCTGAGAAGAAAAGTTACCGATTTTCCCTCCCACTGCAAGAAAGTAAGCCAGAATTTAACCCCACCACAATTAACACATTACTTAAAATGAACTGACAAAAGAGCACTATCAATTAAGCCACAATAATTTGAGGTAATTCAACATACTTAAGTACCTGTTTTTGTGCTGGACCAGCAACTGATAGAGCTTTTCAGTTTCCCCACTCCCATACAGGTAGTCTGCTTGATCTAAGATTTCTTCAGCTTTAAAGAAAAAGAGGGTGGGGATGGTGGAAATAGAAGAAAAAAGGGTTCATAAATATGGTAGCCTACCAGGCATGTGGCAGCTCGTTTAAGAGTGAACCAATACAATTAACACCCAAACAAAAGCATCCTGTCACACAAAAAAAAATTAGCAGAAACCATGGATCCTAGAGAAAGAACCAAACACATACTTCTTAATAAACATCAATATACCAGACATCAGAAGTTTCCAATATTAAATTGGGTGCCTCTATGCTAACCTTTCGCAGCCATGTAATACAGAACTACAACACCTATACAACAGCAGATACCATATTAAAAGTACCAAGAGCTACGGAACAATAAAATAGCTTTAGTAACAGACGTACTTGGAAGTATCAATAGATTTTAGAATGCTCATCTGATGACCTCAGAACGGCAGCTTGGAAAGCACTTAGTTTGGCTAATCAAAGTCGTACCACATTAAGCGTAAAGTCACATGAAGCCACAAAGCCTTACGCTAAAGCTAATTTTATTAACTGGCTATTTATGTATTGATCTAATTTAGTTAATTTATCTCAGTTAAGCTTACCACTTTCAAAATTTTGTTCAAATGAAGCCATTGAAACCTGCATGAGGACTTGGATTCAGGGAAAAAGTCTCCTTTAGCTTCATCTTTGTTTTTCTGCCATTTAACTTTTCTGCAAGGCTCAACTTTCCCTTGTATGACAGACAGAGCAGTCTAAAGCTCCAGAAACAGCTACAAAAATCTGTTATCTAAAATCCCAGAAATAGCTCTGGAAGTCTGCTAGCATAACACTCATCTTTTCTATAGAATGCTAAAAATATTCAGCTCATATACACTGATCTTGTTCTGGTCATTCTTTATTATTTATCATCCCATGACAGATTAAGAGTTGGTTGTAAAAATAATGCAATGAACAAGCTGAATTGAATTGTTGGAAACCTTTGTATATTAATTAGATATGGGAGTGTAAGTAAATCCATCCAGGAATAGAGATGGGGAACCAGATTTTCTCTTCAGTGTTGGCGGTTGACACTAAGTCGATCCATGTTTTATAGGCTAAGATCACGTGAAGTTCCTCTGGCCGCTGTGAGATCTCAGGTTGCAACTAACCAGGGAGTAGAGCACTTGTTTTGGGAGTTGACTCAGGCATCCTCCCACGTCTGGTCTAGCAAAGTTGGTGCTTGAGGGTCACTGACTCAATAATGGTAACACTGGCTTCAGCAAGGATGCTGATATATGTGTGGCATTCTTCCCATTTAATGTGAAGGATTTTCTGGAGGCACCATTAGCAATACCACTCCAAATTCTTATGGATGAAGTGTTATTGTCATCACGTTTCACATCCGCAGAGGAGAGTGGGGATAATGACTGTGTTGTAGACCTGGATCTTCCTGATGTCTTTTCAGAAACTGTGATCAATTAAAATATGCGCAAACAATTTCCCAAAGGAACTGCTTTGCATATCGAATCTTGTGCTGGATCTCCTCATCAATGGTTTGCTTTCTGTGATAGGCAGCTACCAAAGTAAGGGAAGTGCTTGACTACCTCCAGGGTCTTTCCCTTGATGATAATTTGAGGTGGGGGGTGTCACATTCTCAGCCTAGAGCAAGCTGATAGAGCACTTTAGTTTTCTCAATGTTGATAGAGGCCCAAAGTTCAGTAGGCTTCTGCAAAGGGGTCCAATGTGGCCTGTCTATATTCTTTATTTTGCAACAAGCCAAATACTCTCAGACATTTGAAAAAAAGATTTATAGCATTTCTAAAGAAGTTGCACAGTCCTACAAACAGCATTTACTGCACTGACAATGTTGATGAGAGTTATTTTATCAGAATAAGGAATAATTTGATCTGAAATCTCCTTTCCCATTTAGTATTTTCTTTATTTCTAAAGGTTCCAGCACTAAAATGAATATCTGCTCAAGGTATTATTGCTGTTTCTAGCTTAAAAACCTGAATCCAGTACTGCCAATATAAACCATGATGTAGAACTCTGATAGTACCAATATAACTCCATTCTTAATCGCAAAAGAATTGGAATTTGATGACCTTTAATGAAAAAATAGTAACTCTCGAATCTGAATCCTAAATTGAATATTCTGTCCTAAAACAGAATATACAGAATTGTTTGTCACTAGTTTATTATAAATGGAGCACAGTTTTGACATACTTCTGATGATCTCTCTGATGAAGAACAGATAAACAAATACCATATTTTTCATTTACCTTGGAGTTTGAAGTATCCATCAGGGAAAAATCTGATATTAAAAAACAGCACATAAAAGAGAAATTGGAAAGCTTTCCCCAAAATGCGAATCACTATACATCAAGTTTCACATTTGACGGACCCTATATATAACTGAATTTTTGAAGCTACCTTTGAAACTTGCGTGCACTTCAGTAACACAAGAAATCAAATTAAAAGCTTCATAACCCACAAAGGTCCCCAATGACAGTGTAAGGCCTCTTCTTAAAACAGTTAACTTTTCAAAAACCTGAAAGAAAAAATAATAGGAAGTTTACTATAAGATTTGACAAAACTGCTCTATAGCTCTCTGGAGCAGTAATTTTGTTCTAAATTTTGAGTATGGGAATCTCATAAATTATAGAATCTAAAATATATCAGCCATATAAATAGTCTAATATAATGAAATATCAATATGAATAAGATGGTTTCAAATTCAAGAAACACTTTCCTTTCTCTCTATATATACATTGTGAAACCAGGATCCCTGTTTCCCTGCATGTCAGTATACAAACCAAAAGTTCACTTCCAATTGAGAGTAAAAAGACAGTCTTGATATGCACCTCTATAAACTAAGTAAGTGTTATATGTGTAGAGCAGAAGCTTCTGTGAACCCAAGTTCACTTCCTCAGATGCGGTGACAAGACAGCATAGAGCAGTGTAAAAAGTGGAATAAGTGATTAAAATACAACAGGTAGGAAAGCAGGAGGGAGGGGGCAGGGGACTTCTGAGAGAGGGAAACAAGCAAAGAATCCACAGGAACAAAGGGATCTCAAAAGCTAATAGAATCACAGAAAATGAGGGTTGGAAGGGACCTCACCCCTGCTCAGAGCAGGACCATCCCCAACTAAATCATTCCAGCGAAGGCTTTGTCTAGCTGGGTGTCAAAAACCTCCAAGGATGAAGAATCCACAACCTCTCTGGGTAACCTGTTCCAGTGCTTCACCACCCTCTTAGTGAGGAAAATTTTTCCCAATATCCAACTTAAACCTTCACTGCTGTAACTTGGGCCCACTGCTCCTTGTTCTGTCACCTGCCACCACTGGGAACAGTCCAGCTCCATCCTCTTTGGAACTGCCCTTCAGGTACTTAAAGGCTGCTGTTCAATCCAGGCAATGATATAAAAACCCACAGACCCCATTTACACCACAATGAATGCAGTCCAGTTTGTGGATGATATTTGTTCCACAATTTCCTGTGTCAACTGGTTTTTAAAGTTTTGCTCCCCCAGAATCCTAAGCAATCCTGAGGTCAGTGATGCAGCGTCCAGGGCAGCTGAAGTTTTCTGTGACAGAAATTGTGGAACAAGACGTGATCTACACACTGGACTGCACCAGGTATGGTTTAAGCAGGGACGACAGTTTCTTACCCCAAGGTGCCAATTAGCTTTAGCAACCCCTTCGCTCCTATGGGATCTGTTTGTTTGCCTCTCCCAGCACTGCCCCGCTCCCGCCTGGTTTCCTGCCGACTCTGTTCCCATCACCTCCTGCACATCATGCTTTGCTCCGTGCTGACCTGTCACAGCACCTGACGTCACGAACTTGAGCTCACGAATGCCTGTGGTGCACCTATACGTCCGTCAACGCCCCCCCCCCGCACCTCTCTGCCGCTTCCTCTGCTCCTCGCCCGCCCGCGCAGCAGCCCCTGGGTGACGCCGGCGGCTCCTCGGCGCACCAACCGCACCGCAGCCGCTGCCATGACGGGCCCCGCAGGGCTCCTAAGTAGCCTCTGCGCGCCCCGCCCCCACCGGAAACGGTCCGTCCGGAAGTTTAATGCGGTCCCATCTCAAAAACGGTCCGGGTCGGAACAGGGCCTAGTCTCTAGGTTTCCGCCCCGGATACCCCTCGGCTGGCGGGGGGGCGGGGTTTCCGAGGGTCACCCAGCCAACTGCAGCGGCGGTTTGCTGGGAAACGTGGTGCGCATGCGCTAGTGGCCTCGCCCGCTCCGTGGAGGTGGGGCGCTGCCTGGGGGCCGGGTGAGGTTACCTCGGGCGCTGATGTCACGCTGGGCCTGTGCTGAAGCGGTTTCGCTCGTGAGCTGTGGTCGTCTGTTCACGTTCGGCCCCCGCAGGTGAGCGCCGCGCGCGGGAGGAGCCTCCCCCGGGCCGGGCCGGGCCGGGCACTGACGCACTCGGGGCCCATGCCTGCTGGCGGCCCGTGCTGGGGGGGGGGCGGGGCAAGACCCCTGTGCATGGTAATGATCATATTTGTGGGATCGTTTCAACCCTCCTACTGTGCACGATCAATAATAGTAAAAGTGCTCCAAGCCTAGGATAGCTGATGAATGCAGCACATGCAAAGCCCGCAGTGCCCTCCTGGGGAGTCTTTGCTGACTTCTGGGCTTGTCACCACTTTCTTAGGGCTGTTGGCTTCGAAATAAAGGAAGGCGTCAACTCGGACGGCCCAGGTCTCGGTCCTGACAGTTTACAGCGAGCAATATAAAGTAAAGAAGAAGACTTATTTGCATGCTTATTTTTATATTCTTTCAGCATGCGATAGGCTTTCAGCAAATAAGATAATTTTGAGCTTCCAATATGATAATTTCACATGGCAAGAACTGGTTGCCGTGGGGCTCCTCAGGCAGGGGGCAGGCAGGTCTCAGCCTGACTCGGGCCATGGGCCATAGGCAAAGTGGGCTGGGAGCAGCTGCAGGGGCTCATCTGGCCCCAAGGTGAAGCTGCCCAAAAATCTGCTGCTGTAGAGATGTCACAGCAAAAAATCATTCTGGCTTCAAACTCAGGTCTTGTCAGCAGCCACTGCCACCACCTGGGGTCAAGCTGACAGCATTCACCTCTAACATTAGTATAATGTATCAGTAGTTTCTGGATGTATTTGGTTGGCTGTTCATATGAATACGCAGCTGTATTCAGCAGGAGCAGCCCCAGGGCCAGCAGGACCTATCTGGGTGTGGTATGCGGTTGGGTCCCGCCACCATGGGCCTAGCCCGTCCGAGCGGCAGATAGTCCCCAGGGCCTGCAGGACTTGGCTGGGTCCAGCACGTGGTTGCCACATGCCACGCCGGGTCCTGCCACCATGACTCAGCCCGGCCTGGCCAGGCAGCAGAGAGGCCCCAGGGCCAGCAGGATCTGGCTGGGCCTGGCATGGTCCCTGTGTGCCGCACCAGGTCCTGCTGCCATGGCTTAGAGTGCCCCACTCCCACTGCTGCTGCTAAAGGTAAGTTATGGACCCTGGGCAGGGTGGGGCTGTAGCACTCCAAGGTGCCTGGGACCCTGTGGGGGGTGCATTCCATGTGCTGTGTGGGGGGCTGACTGCCA